GGCCACGAATCCAGCTGTGAAACTGCTGCTGATCGTTCGTGACCCAGCAGAGAGACTTGTATCAGACTACACACAAGTTCTCCACAACCGAATTCAGCAAAACAAGCCATATCAGCCACTCGAAGAGCTGCTATTATCACAAGAACACATCAACCCCAAATACAAAGCCCTTCAGAGGAGCTTTTACTACCAGCACCTTGCCAGATGGTTGGAGCTTTTTTCCAGAGAGCAGATGCACATTGTGGATGGAGAGGCACTGATTCAGAATCCGTTTCCTGAGCTGCAGAAGGCGGAGACGTTTTTGGAACTTCCACCTCGGATAAAGCCGGATAATTTCTACTTTAACGTCACTAAGGGCTTTTATTGTATGCTGTCTGCGGGACACGACAAGTGCCTGGATGAGTCTAAAGGAAGACCACATGCACCACTTAGCAGCGAGGCTTTCCAGAAGCTTTGTCGTTACCTGCGAGTTCCCAATCAAATCTTTTTCAGAATGGTGGGACAGAGGTTTGACTGGTGCTAAAGACAGCCGAAAAATTATTGACAGCTCTTACAGAGACTGAGAATGGGATTTAAACTACTACTGAAACCCCATTTTGTGAAAATGTTCTAAGATTGTCAAAGGAATGTGGTTAAAAATGACAGCAACCAGTTTGCAAGAGGGCCAAGCAAAGAGACCAGAGCCAAAAACTGTTCTGAACGCTAATACATCTAGCCCACAGTTTGTCTTCTGTGAAAAAATAGAATAGATCTGCAGGACTTCATGTGCTTTAAAAACTCTTTGGACCACTTTTGACTCCAAAAGTCTCAGTTCAAACAGACTATTGAATTGGTGAAAGTGAGATTGAAAAGATCGGCAAAGTCCAAGTTACTGAAGACACTTGAAAACTTGGTTTTCTCTAATAGAAAATAAAGATGGAATGTGGATAGACACCAAGAATTGCATATAAGTAAAATAAAAAAGAAAATGTTACTTCCAGTGGTACTTGAAGCATTGAACAAAAATA